AAAAAAAAAAAAAAGATTGCAAGACAGAGTCTCACTGCTGCACAGGCTGGAATGCGGTGGCCTGCTCTCAGCTCACTGCAATCTCTGCCTCCCTGGTTCAAGTGATTCTCATGTTCAGCCTCCTGAGTAGCTAGGTTAACAAATGGGCACCACCACACCCAGCTAATTTTTTTGCATTTTCAGTAGAAACAGGGGTTTCACTATGTTGGCCAGGCTGGTCTTGAACGCTTGGCCTCAAGTGATCCACCTGCCTCAGCCTCCCAAAGTGCTGGATTTACAGGCATGATCCACTGCACCCAGCCTGCTTTACAAATATCTTTAAAGTTTTGTTCAGCTTTCAAGAAACCAAAACTAAAAATTGTAGGCAATGCGTTACGATTATGGTTGAACAAAAAAAGACAACTTAGAAATTCAATAAGTGTATCCACATTTAAAAAAAAAAATAAACACGGCCTTAACCCACCTTCAGAATAGTGCTATATGCATGTACAGTTTCAGGTGTTAATCTAAAATACAATGTTAATGTAACATTTTGAATGATTCCCCACTTTGACTACTGTCTGATTACAATTCTCAAGAGCCTTCCACTACACACCATTTACATGCTCACCTTCCAAATGTTATGTTCACTAATTTCTCAATGCCTACTCAATAAACTCTAAACTCTGTGGACTGGCAAATCTATACATTTTTACCCAACTTCATGTTCTATTTTTATTTTCTATTCATATACCTTATCTTTAGTCAATTACACTTATTATTCTCTGAACACATGGTTCAATTTTAAGCTCATGCTATGCTATTTGGAAGGAAGGAAGGAAGGAAGAGGGGAGGGGAGGGGAAGGGAGGGGAGGGAAGAGGAAGGGAGGGGAGGGGAGGGAAGGAAGGGAAGGAAGGAGGGAGGGAGGGAGGGATAGACCTGGTGGACCTTTGGAGGGTAGGATGAGGAAGTGCCAGTTACAGGTTGAGGGAGTAGCAATGTCATCCCATCACGGGTGGGATAGTTGTAAAGCACATTAGGAGAAACTAAAGGACTCTGGGCTGGGGAGGAAAAGACAGACCCTCTATTAGCTGAGCATCAACAGAGTCCCAACCAAAAAGTTCTAGAACAACCAACAGACTGTGATTTCAGAACAATTTCCAAAATAATAAATCTTGAAGACTTAAATCTCTTCACTTCTCTCATTCCTGATTCACGAGGGAATAATTAATTTGATTATTTTTCCACTTTTGGCATTACTTTTCTGCCCCTAATTTTATTATTGTTTTTTATCAATTTTACATAGTTTTCCTAAAAATCAACAGTGTCCCAAAGGAGTTGAAAGCATATGTCCATGCAAAAAACTGCACAGGGACATTTATAGCAGCTTTATTCATAATTGCCCAAACTTGGAAGCAACCAAGAAGTTCTCCAATAGGTAAATGGATGAATGAACTATGGTACCTCCAGACAATGAAATAATATTCAGTCCTAAAAAGAAATGAGACATCAAGCCATGAAAAGACAAGGAGAAAATTTAAATGCATATTACTAAGTGAAAGAAACAAATCTGAAATGTTACATGCTGTTGGATTACAACTATGTGGCATTCTGGAAAGGGCAAAACTATGGAGACAGTAAAAATAACAGTGGTTGCCAAGGGTTAAAGGGAGGCAGGGATGAATAAGCAGAACACAGGATTTTTAGCACAGTGAAATATTCTATAATAGTGGATACATGTTATCATAGATTTGTTCAAACTTACAGAATGTACAACACCAAGAGTGAACCCTAATGTAAACTATGAACTTGGGTGATGATGATAAGTCAAGGCAGGTCTGTCAGTTGTAACAAATGTACCATGCTGGTGAGAGATATGGACAATGGGGGAGGCTGTGCACATGGGGGCAGAGGGTACACCTGAAATTGCTGTATCTTCCTCTCAGTTTTGCTTGAACCTAAAACAGCTCTTTTTTAAAAACATCTTTTTTTAAAAAAAATGACAGTGTTATAAAAATTTCTAAGCTAGAAAAGACCTTGAGTGATTATCTTCCATCTCCCTATTTTAGACAGCATCACAATAACATCATCCTAGACAGATGAAGAGCTATTATTTTTAAAACCTCCAGAGTAGACAACCTCCCAACATTAACAACTCTCACTGTCAGGAAATTCTTCCACCTATAATCTAAATCTCTCATGCTGCTGTTCAAATCAGTTTTCACTCTGCAGAGCTGAGTCAATATTGAGAACAGCTGGTCTTCAGTTTCTATGCAGAAATCCTTCATTTGCTGCCACTGTAATGTAATGAGATTATATTTTCTGTGTAGCTTTGATTTAGTTCTTCGCTTACATCCTTGTCCCAGCTGATTAACCCGCTTCCCAGCCTACACATAGAGTTCATTCGTACCCTTATCTAGACTCCTACATCACTTTTCAAGTATCTCTACTAGAGCATTATCACAACTTAGTGTAATTATATGTTGATGTGACTGTCTCCCCACACCTCCTTCTATCTTATTCATATGCCTATCTCTGTAATTGATATGTAATAGGCTTTCAATAAATGACTGTCAAATGAATGAATGAATGAATAAATGAAATGGCACCCAGATAAACCATTTTCTTCTAACTATTTAGCTAAGGATGTGGGTATCCTCTGTCAGGTAAGTTTCTCTTGATAAAAAGTAACAACTATACTAGTTTCGACCAAAACAGAGAATGTATGGAAGAATACTAGAATCGCTTACAGGATCAAAGGAAGATGGATCAGAAAAGGTAGGAACTTGGGGGTTTTCTCTGCAGGAGGTTGTGGGCCTTCTTTCCAGAGTATTACAATGTGTCTCAGCTACCAACAACTTTCAAATTATACTATTTCTCTTCTTGCAACACTTTCAGTACACAAAAGAGACAAACTGATTGGCCCAGCTTAGGTGAGATAACAGGCCTGAACCAGTTAGTCATGGTCCAGGGAACAAAGATGGCTAATGGAGACACAGCTAGGGCAAAGGCCAGCAGAGGACATGTCTGTGCATGATGGCAGCTCCCCAGAAAAGAGGAACCCTGCATTGTAGAGACACCTGGAACGATGACTACTACCAACAATCACTGAGCCCTTGGGCCCATTGTCACAGCTGAGTTATTGAGAGGATGTCACAGACCTAAATAAACAAGGTAATTACACTTTTTTTTCATTTCCTCATTTCTCTTTAGGCCCTCTGTTACCAAAATTTAAGATAAAAACCTATCTTACTGAGTTGAAATGTAAATTTCCTTTGAACTAGGGATCAGTACTTGAGCTAGTGATAAATATTATCACAAGATTTACAGCACACAGAAAAGTCTTTCAGAAATTCAGTACTTTTTATATGTCATTGAATTAGTAGCAGACACATGTCTAAGCAACTGAATCGCAAAGAGCAAAAAGGTAGAGGTGTTGCCATGGACTAACACCCTGCCAACTTGCTCCACATGCCTGCAGTATCCTAATCCTGAAGTTCCTCATGAGTACACATGCCAAGAAGACACTGTAAAAGGAGAGGAGGAACAATTGGTCAGTTATGTAATAACAATAATTTGCAATAATTTAGAAGTGTTCAGTTTAAGTCAAATTATTTCATATCTCTTGTCTCATTTTACAATTGAGTTAGACACCTATCACACATTAAAATAGCCACACAAAAAATTCTTTGCAGCTCTTTCCACAAAGAGAAGTCAATTTCCCCACCCCTTGAATCTGAGCTGATAGAGACTTGGTTTGACTAAATGAGAGAAAATGACTTTGTGTGAATTCCAAGCTTAGGCCTTGAGAGACTTCACAAACAAGCAAACAAAAAAATAAGAAATCATGTGGAGACACCAAAATTTGAAGATGTTCGTTGGATCGAAGTAGATAACCTAAACATCACCCAAATGCAGTGGCCCTTTGCCCTTTATCTATAATATATAGATAATATATATTATATATTATCTATATATTATAGATATATAATATCTATAATATATAGATATTATATATCTATATATATATAGATATTATATATATCTATATAGCACAAATCTATAATCTTCTTACAAAGAAACTTTTGTTTGGCCTATCTTTATCTTCCTATCTATTCATCTGTCTGTGAAACCTCCAAGTTTATAGGCAAAGCAGTTTGGTTTCCTAACACTTTAAGAAAAAAAATTATACTTAGAATTTGGCTAATCCAGAAATGCTATTCTCCAGGTTAAGACATTCAGGCAGTGTGTAAAATTTTCCTAAATGTAAGATCATTTTCAAAATTCTTGCTGGTTTTCTTTGTGTGTGTGTGTGTATGTGTTATTTGCTGAGAGAATTAAACTTACGTTTTTATGTTTCCAGTTCTGTTCTCCTGTGTGAGCACCTGAAAGTTAACAGGGTAGTTGTAATCTACAGGCCATCTCCCTGGATGTGGAGATTTGGCTCTGCTCCACTTCATCTTCTCTGACTTCCTGATTTGAAGATCTGTCACAGACCCCTTGCTGTGAGACCTTTTTTCTGTTTTGCTTTTATCTTTACTCAGAGACTTTCAAGAATTCTTCTTTGTTCCTCCCATTTCCATAGTTACTTTGGTATTTGAATATTTTCCTATGTTTCATCCTGCTGAAAGAGTTTATGGATGCTTAGTTTGAATATAGGATGAGAGCTGGGATACTTAATAATTAGCACAGAAGCCAGCCTAGAAATTCCCACAGCTGGCTATACCATATACCCCTCTGTACTCATTATTTTTACTATGGTTTTGGTAACATTTTGTTTTTCAAAAATGAAACAAGTCACAGTTTCTTGACTAAAGAGTATCATATTCATTTTATATGGCTCTACCTTTTTATTTATTTTTAATCTAATGTCATTACTGTTCTTTTTTCAGTTTCCAGTTCTGATTTTATTTTATCCTATGATAATTCTTTGGTTTTCTATATCTCATTATTCTATTCCCCCTTCCCTAAATATAGCATCTCTTTTTACTCTGAAAAAGGATTGTGATCATCCTGATAAACAGTAGGCAAAAAAAATCCTAAGCTCTTTGGAACAAGAGTTAAAACATATTATTTTAAGAGATGTCTTCAATCTCTATGATTTCTCCAGACACCAGGACACTATAGAACCAGCTGCCTCTATTCACATTCACTACTTGCCACTCCAAAAGAAACAATGATACCATGAAATGAAGGGAGGGAGGGGCTTCATGAGAAAATTGGGACACTATTGATGAAAAACATCAAAAAGAAATTCTTCTAATTCACTTTAAATGGAGTTTATATTGGGAAAAAATAAATAAATAAAGTGGAGCATTTGATCCCATTCATCAAAAAGCACTTACTGAGCACCTTGGTAATACAGGTTGTATCTGCATGCCTCAATTTCCAGCATGCTTATATAAATTATCTCATATGTGAGGTAGGTAAGCAGAAAATCAATGAGTTATTGTCTATGAAACACTTTAACTGAATACACAATATAAACATTAAGAAAAAATATTTCTGTTTTACGCATAAGCAAATGGGGTCTCAAAGAAGTGGAGAGCCCTACCTAGTCTGACAGGCCTGGTGTCCTGACTTCCATAAAGCTTTGCATCACACTGCTTTTCTGTGATCCTCCTCTGTGCAAGGCAGAGGGATATATGGAAACCTCTGATTTGAAAAGGTTTACAAATCAGTTATGGAGAAATGTCATACACATAAAAGAATAACATGATGATGATGGTTGTGGTGGTGATGATGATGTTAGTTGACACTTTTATAGCGCTTACCCTGTGCTAGGCATTGTTACACAAGTACTGACCCATTTAATTCTCTCAGTAATCTTTTAAAATAGGCATCATGAGATAATTAAGGCACAGAGAGATTTAGTTACTTGCCCGAAGTCACCCGGATAGTGGGTGGTAGGATTGAAATCACTCGATGTCAGCTGCCTGGCGCCAGGGGCTATGTTTGACTACTGTACTCTACTGCCTTTCTGTAAAACAGTATATGGAATACATTCCATATTCATGACATAATTAGTATGCTAGAATGTCAGGGAGATTTATATTGGGGAAAAAAAAGGCAAGCATTTGTCTCACCAAAAAACTAGTATAGAACAGAAATTTGGGGAAAGATTTAGTTAAACAGAAGAAGCTAAGAAAATATGAAAGATAGAAAAGAAAAAGAAACTCTGCCCCATGTTTTCAGGAACTACCCATGGAACCTGTGTGACTAAAAGAGAGGATCTGTGTGGTGGCAAAATGGATATTGACTGGAGTGTTAAGTGTGAATAAATTGTGACTTGTCTGCAATGAAAAGCTAAGACTAGACTCAGTAATAAATAATGAGAAACCCCAAAGGCTAAAGTTCTCAAAAATTTGCTTTCCTGTGATAAACACATTAGGGAGAGGAAGGCATAAAACTGAGAAGAGCAGTTAAGCAATGATTGCACGGGTCCCTGTGTCATGAGGTCACAGTGGGGCTTAGGCTAAAGTGACGTGCACGGGGAAGGGAAGGATAGCAAGCATATAACCAACATTACCCACTGAGGATTAATAGGACCTGGCAACTGACAGGATGAGGAAAATAAGGGATTTCCAGGGTGACTCGAAGCTTCCAAGCTTGCATGAATAAGAAAATAACAATGCCATTTATAGAAACAGGGATGTCCAGAAAGGGAGCTGATTTGGAGACATTCAGATTTGAATATACTAAATTTAGGGAGACAGGATAACATCCAAGTTGAAAGGCTGAGAATTGATTAACAAATATTTATTGAACCCCTATATTGTGTTAAGACAACATACTAGAGCCTGGGGAGACTGCTGTGACAAGACAAGGCCCCTCCTCTCAGGAAGCTTGGAGTGGCAACTAGAGGATTATGCAGATTAGAAGAAAGCCAATCTGCTGGATTAGATGGCTAGAGCCCGGATGGTGCTGTGTGTATATATATATATTTTTTTTTTTCTCTCTCTCTCTTTTTATATTTAACCTTCTAAAAGATTCAACTATTTATATTCAGTCTCTCACCCCATTGAGTGAATTACTATGCACAGTTGTTTTTCTTCACAGAGAATTAAAGTTAAAAATGCTTATTTAGGAAACCTAGAGACAGGAGGGTATTCCAAGTCAAGTACCAGCTAGGGTTTGCTAACAGTAGGAATTATCAAGCTTCCAGTCAAGAGCCAGCATCAAAAAGAAGAAAAAAACAACTGCACAACAACCTGTTTGCTGATGGAGATCAGCAGGTTGCCTCTGCTCCTCATATGGACATGCAGCCCCTAGGCTGATGACAACTATTTGCAGCTCACACTTGTGCCTGTCATTGGGTCTGGAGCTTAGTTTCAGAGTAGAGGAACCCAAGGGCTAGATATGGCATATGGGCCTATTCTCTGTGGCCTATATAAGATTGTTTCTTTGAGACAATACTTAAATTTCAGGTTTGGAATTCAGAGGTTACACATAAAACTCAAGATTTCCAGCTGCTCTTGAAAAATCAGAATGTATTGTCAACATTGGGTCTTTTCTGCTGACAATATTGGGCTGGAGTTAAGTTAGAACTGCTTCCATATAGAAACAGTCCATACCCCTCATACAACAAATACTTGGCTACTTCACTCCTGATGTTCTCTGTATGGCTCCCGTAGTATTTGAACTTGCAAACTCTCAAATGTGTAGTTCTCTAGGGAAGTTAAGCAAACATGCTTTCTGGCAAGAGATAGTAGGCCAAGAAACTGTAGCAGCATCTGACATATTAAGAGGAATGAAAAATTGAAGGCACTCTCCAATAGCAAATAGGGGACTCTTTCAGGAGAAAGATGCTTTGGTCATTAGCAAATGACACTTTGGGCATGTAATTTATATTTTCTGAAACTCAACTTCCTGATTTGTAAATTGAATCTAATAGGGATTCAACAATCCCACTACTGGTTATGTATCCAAAGGAAATAAAATCAGTATATTGAAGAGATAGCTGCACTTTCATGTTCACTGAAGCATTATTTATAATAACTAAGATAGAGAATCAGCCTAAGTGTCCATTAACAGATGAATATACCAAAAAATAATGTGGTACATATACACAATGTAATCCTATTGAGCCTTTTAAAAGAAGGAAATCCTGTCATTTGCCACAACATGGATAAACCTGGAGAACATTAAGTGAAATAAGCCAGGCAATCAAGAGACAAAGAACATATGATCTCAAATGTAGAATGTAAAAAAGTTGAACTCATAGAAGTAGACAGTGTAATGGTGGTTACCAAGGGCTGGGGGTGGGGAGTTGGGGGGAAGATGTTGGTCAAAGGATATAAAATTTCAGTTAAACAGCAGGAATAAGTTCAAAGGATCTATTGTACAATATGATGGCTATAGTTAATAACAAGGTATTGTATCCTTGAAAATTACTTAAAGGGTAGCTTTTAAGTGTTCTCAACACGCACACACAAAAAATATGTGATGTAATGCATCTTAATTAGCTTGATTTAGTCATTTCACAACGTGTACATATTTTAAAATGATGTTGTACATGATAAATACAGTTTTTATTTGTCAACTAAAACATTTTTGAAAGAAACTAACAGGATTTTCCCCCCTAAAAAATTGCTGATGCCATTAAATAAGATCATGCTACATGAAATCCTTAGTACAGCGCCTGGCATTTATGATTGCTAAGTAAATTAAAATAATTCTTATCATTGTAGGTACTCTTTTCAGAGGCAATCACAAGCTTCAGGTGCAAATGTAAGCTGGCTTTTCTGTATACTTCACTCACGCATGTCTACTGAGCACCTATTCTAGCTTCATGCAAGGCATTGGAAACACATATAGAACAGACATACCATCTAAGAGAAAAATTGGAAGTAAAAGACTGAGAAGAGACCAAGAAAATTCAAGACCACAGTCAAGGAAAGAGTTATAGGCCAGTCGCAGTGGATCACGCCTGTAATCCCAGCACTTTGGGAGGCCTAGCCAGGCACATCACCTGAGGTCAGGTGTTCAAGAACCAGCCTGGCCAAAGTGGTGAAACTCCATCTCTACAAAAACACAAAAATTAGCCGGGTGTGATGGCAGATGCCTGTAATCCCAGCTACTCAGGAGGCTGAGGTGAGAGAATCACTTGAACACGGGAGGCAGAGGTTGCAGTGAGCCGAGATCATGCCATTACACTCCAGCCTGGGCAACAGAGTGAGACTCTGTCTCAGGAGAAAAAAAAAAAAGTATACAGAAAGATGTCAGAAAAAGATGAAAGGCAGAGAATAAGTCTCTTCCTATGTTGAATTTAGATACAATATTTCATCCTCCATAGAAAAATGAGCATCCACAAAAAATGACTCTGTAACAACTAACCCTTACGTAGCACTTACTACACACCAAGCAGTATTCCAGCTGTTAATACTTTATACATATTAGTTCATATAATTTGCAGAACAACTTTTAGATAGGTTATTTTATTTAGCTTTTACAAATGCATAAAAACTGGCTCACAGAAGTCAATAATTTGCCCAAGGTTATTCAACTAACAAATTAGTAGAGATAAGCTTTAAAACTAGGAATTCTGGCTCCACAGTCAATGTTTTTGAGCACTTTCAGATATGTATAAGGTAACTTGCAATTAGATTCTGGAAAAAAAGGTAT